TGCGTCTGGCCGTGGTCGCAAGTGTATCCTACTACGGTCGCAAAACATATAATAATTGTTCCAGTACCTCAAAGGCTGCGTGTGACAGCCGTCATGCAGATCCAAAACTGTCTTTACAATCACATTACCGGGCTGGATCTGCTCCCCACTGCCTTGTGGGTCAGGCTATTTAGCCAAAGCCTCCGGGTGGAGTCCCTCAAGTAAACATCCGAAACACAACCGTCGCCTCGCGTGCGATTGCCCACCAATGCAATCGTATGCCTGCGCGCAAAGCACTCAGCATCGGTAGCGGAAAATGTGCACACTACTAGACCGGAACTCGAGTGAGCGCCCCGAACGACGCACTGCACTGGTCGCGATCGACATTGCGGCGCTCAATGAAACCCGGCTCGCTGAGCAAGGTAAGTTGCATGAAGTAGATGTTGGCTACACATTCTACTGGGTAGGCAACGCCGCCTCAGCACCACGTGATCGTGGGGTCGGATTTGCAATATCCTATCGTCTTCATTTCCAGCTCGTGGGTGAACCAACACGCATCAGCGCGCGACTGATGACTGTTCGTCTACTACGTACGGTCCGACCATGTGTTATCCTGATGACACGCGTGATCAATTCTACACTCAGCTATCCTCCGTGATACGGTCTGCGCCGAGGAACCACCGACTATTTCTGCTGGGTGATCTCAACGCGCGCGTTGGGCGTGCTGCATCGGTGTGGACAGGTGTCATTGGTCCGCGTGGCATTGGTTCAGCGAATGCGAACGGTGACAGGCTGCTCTCACTGTGTGCCATTCACGGCCTGACGATCACGAACACTCGGTTTGTACTGCGTGTCAGTGATATAGCAACTTTGACGCACCCACGGATTGGTCACGCTCACCTGCTCGACTATGTCATCGTACGTCAGCGTGATATGCGTGAAGTGCGCATGACACGTGTACTGCGTGGAGCTGAGTGTGGCACTGATAATAAATTCGTGTAGACCAAAATATACATATATTTTCGTAAATCGATGTATTGCACTCCCACCGTGAATGAGCGTAAATTTAACCTTCTCTTCCTCGGTACTCTGGAGAAACGTATTGAGCTGGAGAAGGCGATGGCCTCATGACTATGTGATATGGACTGCATAGTCATAGTGTGCGACCTGTGGCACCGCATTCGCGACCAGGTCACAGCTGCTGCCGAGGAGATCATCGGGCGCGCAAGCTGTAAGCTGCCTGATTGGTTTGATGAGAACATTGCGACGATTGGCGCATTGGTGTGTGAGAAGAATGCAACATTTGCTGCACATGTGGCTTGGGGAAGAAGAGTCAGTTTCGCAGAAATCGACGGCGACTGACCCGAGAGCTCCGTCGCATTGAAAATGCATGATGGACGGAGAAGGTGAAGCAGATGGAATGTTACGCCGAACGTCGCCAACACACGGAATTCTTTGACTCTTTGAAGGCGGTGTGTGGATCGAGGTTGGAGCCGCTGAGGACGCTGATCGATGGTAATTCAGGCACTACGTGCACACAGACTGTAGACATAATGCCGATCTGGCGGAACACTTTGACTGTCTCTTAAACAACCGTTCGGAGATCGACTGGCTTACATTGCACGACCTTAAGCAGTACGATGTGACGACGAGTCTGGCGGACACGCCGACACTGGATGAGACGCAGAGAGCACTTGTTCAGCTGCGGAACGGCAAGTGTGCCGGTAGCGACGGGATCCCGCATGAAGTATTTGAAACACGGCGGACCCGCGTTGTTGACTGCGCTGCACCACTTGGTGCAACGCATATCATTGCTGAGGAAGTGCCTCCTGAACTGAAGTATGCCCCTGTGCTACCGCTGTACCAGGGTAAAGGGAGAAAGCAATCTGCTACAAAGTATCATGGTATCAATTTGCTGAATTGTGTGGACGAAATGATTGCCGGAATCTTGCTCAACTGCCTCGCCCGTCAGGTTGTGAAACTGTACGTGGCGGAAGAGCAGTGTGCATTCCGTTCGGGTTGCAGCACTATACATATAGTGTTTGCGGCTCGTAAGTTGCAGAAGAAGTGCAATTAACGACACCAGCCATTGTACTCGCTTTTTGTTGATTTCACCAAGACATTTCGTACGGTAAACCACGAGGCATTGTGGCTGGTGTTTAGTAAGTTTGGTTGCCCGCGTAAGTTTGTAAGTTTAATTGGATGTCTGTACATGGTATGCGGGCGAGCGTGCAGCTGATTGGAGAGACCTCGGATGACTTTGCACTTGTCTCTTGTGTGAAGCAAGGCTGTGTCTTAGCTCCTGCCATGTTTAATATATATCTTCATGCAATTATGCCTTGTGCTTTATAGATGGGCTGGGATGGATGCTCACCGACGTATTCCGGCTGAAGGCGAATACTATGAGACTCGGAAACATCTCCGGACAAAACTGCGTGCTAGCCTGAAGAGGGACAGCGAAGCCTGCTGGTCTCATCTTGCCTCAGCGATGGAAATAGCCGCTGCCGTTGGCAATCTTCGCAAGTTATTCCGTTTGATACGGAAGACAGGTAGCAGGAGACCTGGCGTTAGCGAGACAATACACGATGTGAGTGGACAGCCGATCCATAGTCTGTCAAAACGCTTGGAGCGTTGGGCTGAACACTTTGCAAGGCAGTTTAACCAACTTGAGTTATCACTTTCTTTTTCAGGTATTGAGCGCACTTCTCCTTGAGCCCTCTCCTTGGATCCGCCCTCACGCGCAGAAATCGAACATAAGATCAGCCTGTTGCAAATACATAAGGCCGCAGGGGCAGATAGAAGTTAACCAGCGCTCTTCACATTCGGGGTATCTTTTCTAATAGATGATTTACACGAGTTGCTAGTGAAACGTTGGGAACAGGAGACTGGAGCCGCTCCGACAATGTCCCAATTTGCTAGGGAGGCTCCCGTTCGGAATGCGGCAATAATAGAGGGATCAGTCTGATCAAAATTGCCTCTAAATTTCTTGCGTTTGTCGTTCTCCACAGACTGACTGGTGCTCGTGAAAGCCATATCCGTGATTAGCATGCCGGGTTTCCTTGAGATCGGGGCTGCATCGACCACATCTTCACCTTGCGTCAAATGTTGGAGCACCGCCATGTTTATTGGCGACCCGCCGTTATCGTTTTTCTTAACATAAAAGATGTCTTCGACTCAATCAATCAATGTGCACTTTGTGACTGTCTGCTGTGAAAAGGTGTTCCTGATACATACGTACACATTATCAAAGCGCTGGACGCGCATAGTTCGGGCAGAATGAGGGTTTATATCAAACTCTCGCCATCCTTCAGTACCACCAGCGGTGTGAGATATGGTTGTTCGCTGTCACCTTTCCTATGTAACTTCCCAGTTGACGAAATCATGGAATCAGCATTCTCTGGACACGATCTAGAAGGTGTGGAACTACCTCCTGGTGAGCGGCTTCTTGACTTGGGGTATGCGGACGATATTGTTTTAATCTGTGACGGCTGCCATACATGCCAAGCAGCACTGGACCGATTAGCACTGGCTGTCAATCGTTTTGGGCTATGCTTTGCTCCATCGAAATACAAAGTACTCCACCAAGCTTGGCAGGGACCCACCTCTGCGCTAACGTTTTGTGGTGATCAGCTAGAAGTCGTTCAGGAATTCAAGTACCTGGGCAGCTATATTAGCGCCCGCAGGATCGAAGCTTAGGTTATGAACCGAATAGCAAAAGCTCAAGGTGCTTTTGCCAATTTCCGCCACCTGTGGCGCAGACGAGACATTACGCTCGCCCTGAAGGGTAGAGCTTATAACGGAGCCGTCCGTTCAACCCTCCTATATGGTTGTGAAAGCTGGCGCATCAGGTCGACAGACATAAAGAGGCTCGTCAAATTCGATTATCGCTGCCTTGGCAGTTTTGCTCATATCTAGTGGAGCACTGCGTGAACAATGAGCGTGTTCGGCGTCGCGTATGTGGTGCAGGAAGAGTGAGTGAACCGGTTAGCATCATTATATCACGCAGCGGACTCCGATGGCTGGGTCGCGTGTTGCGCATGCCAGCACACCGACTCGCGCGAAGTGCATTGTTTGCGCGTTGTGGGTGCGGTTGGAGGAGGAGGAGGAGAGGCCAAGCGGATGACTTGCTCGAGAGGATTTATAACCTTAACTTCAAAACTTGCTTCCGTTGGTGCCTCTCGACTGCCTGACTGCGGTCCTAAGGACGATGAACACGTTTGGTTGGGCACACTTGCTGATATGGCAAAGAGCCGGCCAGAATCGCGTTTGTGTTGTGAGTTACTTTGTTCATTCCCCCTCCCTTTAGGGTCCCCCTCCAATCCCGATCTCATGCAACACATATAATATTTAACATTTTATTTTTTGTAGTGTAATTTTTTAATATCTCATCTTTTTGTATTGCGGCACATTAGCTGATGTGTTTCTCTCCATCATCTAACATGTACTGATGCTGATGGTGCTGAGTACTTACAAGGTGTCAATTCGTCTATCTCCGGGCTCATTATTCAAGAACTATCTTTTACTGTCTGTGAAGCGTGTCTTTACAGTGGGTTCACTGAGCGCTACATTCTTGTGTTTGAGTACTTTCTGTCTGTCATGTAATGTAAATTACCCTTCTGTATTGTTCGAAAGTTGGATTATCGCATTATCTTTGTCACCACATAGTGGACCCTAATTTTGTTCCACGTTATGCACCCTTTTACTTTGTGTTCGATGAAGTTTACCTTCAGTGCTTTCTAGGCCTTTCCTTATGACTACTCACAAATAGCCACCCAGTCGCCACTCGTGGAATGGATTCTTTCGAATGCGCTCCCTCTGCTTCGTTTTACTCTTTGTAATCTTCTAAGTCTGATGTAATTGCTTTCGCCATGTGCTCATCGCATCAACCACACTCAACTCTATTGTCACGCATTTTGCTCTCATTTGATATGGGCTCTTTTTCGTTCAATCTATAACTCACTGGATGAAGCAGATAGTTCAATTGACCTACTTGTGCATGTGATTTTGCTCTCGTTCGTCAGCTTATGTCCCTCCGTTGCCCCACAAGTCGGATCAGCTGGATGGCTCAGGACCTAACGAATACACTGACTTCTATCGTTCACATACTTCCGGTCAAGTGACCGACCCTTTGTGCACCTTGGATAACTTGGATGATGAGTTGAATGGCCTCACAGACGTTGGTGCGCGCACATGGGACAGAACCGAAGCACATAGAATGGAAACCAACATAGCCTGGCCGGTCGAGTCATCTTTCGAACTTGCGAACGCCTCTATGACCAAATCAGATCATCCGGAAGCGAGTCACATGAATAAGAAAGACTGGGTAGGTCTCTTTCTTCTTTTATGCCTTTTTGTGGGAATGCAGTTTGGTAGACCAGGTATGTGTTTGCTTTTAAATGTCGTGGCTATCCCATTGCGTACTACATTCTCGGGCACAGACATCGCCACATTGGGTTGGAACCTGATGCAACTGCCTTTCATTGGCTGTCTGTATCCACGTAACTTCGCATATCTAGATGAGCACTTGGTATCCATTTTATTCTGTTTGCACTGTTCATTGGTATCATAGGTCACGAAGAGTGCAAAAGTGCAGTGCGCATGAGGTAATCGCAGAACACGACCTTTATAAGCCCAATAAAAGCTAAGTTACATGTGGCTCTTCCATCTTAGACAGGTGCAATAAAGATACTGCATTGCACCAAGTCAGTAGTTAATCATTCTAGAGTGAAACTGTACCCAAGCGAGACTTACATTAGCGATGGAATAAGGATGACACAAAGAAGATGACGGAGCATGTGTTGGCAACTTTTCAAATTGGCAGAAAAATGGTGCGCTTGAGTCAACTGCTTTTCGTTAGCTTAGCGAAGTTAAAGTTACCAGATGACGAACGGGAATTACAGCTCTAATCATTCTTACAACTAACATGTGAAACATTACATGAAACATCAACATCATCATGTTAATCGCTAGTCAGTTACTTGCAGAACTGTTCCCCTTCCACGGATGTTCCGGAACGATTTATCTTTGGACATGTCCACCAGCGTGCAATTTCCGCCAAAAGAGGAAGCCTTGCTTTTGGATACTGTAATAGGTAAAGTGTTTGGAGACTTTAGTAATGGTAAGATGCGAACGGCGGATCGTCATGATTGGATTCGAAATTATCATTGTGCTACTTTATTACTGTGCAGCTGATTACAGTGACTCTGAAAGATCCGACGTCTTGAGCCGTTTCATTGCCATTTGACAACGGTTCCTCTTTCCTTTCACTAAACATTTATTACACTATAACTGATCGCAATCGGATCTTGTCGTAGATGATAGAACGTCGAACAGTGCTGATGTAATAACTGCTACTTAATCGGTCTATTATATTAATAAATTGTACATTCCTCAACGATGCGAGCATCTGTTCTCTAGAAAAGACAACTCGAAAAGTGTTGCAACCACTTCATGCTATTGCATAATTCGTTAAAATGTATCATCGTAAGCGTCATGTTACTATGAGTGTCACCAAGTAGTCAGATGTTATGACTTCGAATGAAATGAAACGAAAGGAGCTGTGAGCCAAAATGTAGTATGCAGGCGATCATTCAACCCGAAAACATGTGTTGTTCGTAGGTTTGTCAAGTGCTGTCGACATCATTCCCGAAAACCTTATCCAAGCATAGTGATGTCCCAAACATACTAACCGCAGTTTGTATGCTTAACTGTCCGTTTATCACATGCTTGCATTTGCGCAGTGTACAGAATGTTCGGATATATTTTGAAACTATTCCAACTTTTCGTGTAGTGGATTTGAAAAAAACGTTCTCTGATTTTCGTTGTGAACTTATGAATTGTGACTTTTGTTCTCTTGTTACATATCGGGTATATGGTGATTATAGACTTAAGAATACCGTTATCCGGACTGTGTATAGGATTTTTCATGATCCTGCAATCTATCTACTGGTTCAGCTTTATTCTCCGAAGCCATACTGGGTCAAGTCTAAGCTTATCACAACGTTCTGTATAGCTTATCTTTGAGGAATACCCGCATAGCTTTTTTTGTAAATCACCAATGGACCCTCTCAAGAGCATGCTGATCACACTTTCGCAAATTCGATTTGGCCAATGAACAGTGTTTCAAACTCGCTGCGTATGGTCGGTAAAGCCAGATGCGAGATTTGGTGGGTTTAAAACAATACCGTATGTTTCATATGGTCCTCATGATGTTCGAAATTTGAAGCAGGTGACTGGATATCGCACGCTCAAGTCGCAAACTGTCCCGCATTACGTAATGTATGTGCCTCGAAATAATATACTGCCTGGTGATACTTGACTTTTATGCCACAGACTACTACACTTATCCGCACTTGCCACGGTTGGTACCAAGATTCCACTGCAGATAGGTCATCCTGGATGCGAAGTACTGCTTCTTAGGTATTTACACCTTCTCGTGAATGGTTGACTTGGATATCACCATGTGGTGGATTAAAGGTAGATACTACTGCACCGGGTATAAGTAATGTGGTTGTGCAAGATGACACACCAACAGCGAGCCCTGCCGACTTCCCCAAAGTTGAAGATGACATCAGGATTACAGTTCCATACGCACGAGGAATGAACACAGAGGCAAGCACCAGTTGGGGAACACTCCATGGAGATCACGCAGATGAGCGGACGCCTCCAAGGTATGAACGAACACACCTAGTGTAAGCCATACCTAATGCTCTGGAATACATTGTTTACATAGATGAACAATGTGACCCAAGAACACTCCATGGAATTACTCCATTGATGACTGCTTTTGTTTTAGAGAAATGGTCACCGATGCATACCACCTGCTGTCTACCAACTAGGTATGAGGACATCACCTCCCCAACGCCCATGGCCGATAAGGCACAGTATCCAAAGACTTTTTGCATCGTTAAGAACAGGAGTACAACATTGTTTTCGCTGTCTATCATCATCATCATCATCATCATTATACATGTCAGCTAGAGATGGTAAAACACCTCCGCTATTGTACCGCAATACATAAAGGAAATACATACATACATACAATACATAAAGGAAAAATAAATACGACAGTTGAATGCCAGCTGAGCTACCAGCAACGGATACGCATCGTTCCGGTAAGCTACTAGCTGGCTACTAGGCAAAAACAAAAATTTAATTACGTTTTACCCTACGAAATAAGATCGTAGATGGAGGGGGAGGCTAAAAGGAATGGGGAGGGACAAAGAAACTCACAGCAGGAACGCCACTGAGGTCGGCTCCTTGCCATATCAGCAAGTGTATCCAGCCAAACGTATTCACCGTCTTTTGGACCCCAACCAGGGAGCCGTGAAGCTCCAACTGAGGCCAGCTCCGAAGTGAGGGCCTTCATTCCTCTGGACCAAGTCATCGCTTGGCCACCTCTCCTCTTCTTCCACCCACATCCCTGGTGAGCAAACAACGCACGTCGTGGGAGTCGGTGGGCTGGCATGCGCAACACGTGGCCCAGCCATCGGAGCCTGGTGAGTGAAATGACGGTGCTGAGCGGTTCATTCCCTTTTCCTGGGCCGTAAACAAGGCGTCGAACACGCTCGTTACTCACGCGGTGTTCCCACCAAATGCGAGCCAAACTGCGAAGGCACCGATGGTCGAACCTAAGTAGCCTCTTCATGTCCGCCGATCTTAGGGGCCAGGTTTCGCAACCGTACAGTAAGGTCGAACGTACCGCTGCATTGTACACTCTACCCTTCAGGGCGAGAGTAATGTCGCGCCGTCGCCATAGGTGGCGAAGGTTAGCAAAAGCACTTCGAGCTTTCGCTATGCGGTTCGTGATCTCGTCTTCGATCCCAAGGGCGCTGATACAATTTCCCAGGTAATTGAATTTCTGAACGACTTCTAGCTGATCCCCACCAAGGGTCAGCACAGGGGGCGAACCCTGCCAATCCTGGAGGAACGCTTTGCACTTCGGCGGTGCAAAGCAAAGCCCGAAGCGACTGACAGCCAGTGCTAATCTGTTTCGCTGTCTATAACAACCGGTGTTTGTTTTTAGGTTTTTTTCCATAACCTTGTCGTTTCCGAAAACTGTTAACTGATTGTCGGACATGGTTTCATAACACCAAGGCTCAGTTATGGATACTGAAATTAGAGAGCGGGAAGATATACATCGTTGTAGGTGGATGGGACACCTGTACGGAATCACATCACTGATCCTGCGCAGTGGCGGCAGCATATCACAGGATATCAAAGTGAGTCACTAAAACTGATGAGCATAACACGTGTATAATCGAATGAAGAGAACGAATTTAATCAGGATTATTGAAATAGTTGCGGGATTGGAAAAAGATTGTTTATGTTATTGTATTAACTTTGGTGTTGAAAGGCGTGTGTCCGAGCCCAAGCTAAACCATTTTTTGAAACAGGGCGTGTATTGTTGTACATTGATCGGAAGGTGATCACGGCACTGAGGTCTGTGACTGATTCTGACCTTCTAGAAAATGGTTCTGGGAAATGAATCCATCTTTGGTGTAGTGGCTCATGGGATCTGGAGAGGCTTATCGTAAGTTGGTTTATGAATGCTAGCTTACAAAACTATCTCATCTGCATCGTGACGCTGATAGCTTGTTGATTACGTAGGTAATTGACAGGACCGGCCCGTAGCCTTAAGGACCACATGCTTGCCTTGCAATCCGAGGGCGCCGCTTCGGGCCTGAACAGGGGCCGGGCAACCCTCACACTATCCTTAGCCCACGTGCGAGAGGTAGTGGTTTCGCGTCAGCGAAGTGTCTGCACTTCGTACCGTGGTATTGCTGATGCCTTTCTCTTAATGGACAGGGATCATTGCGTAGCCGCCATCTCCATTGTTGGGTATAATCTGCTTACGTGCACTCGAACCGCGATTCTTCGCTATATGCGATGGAGGCTCACAAGTGTCAATCCATGCACCATCAACAGCATGCCCCGTGTGACTCATAAGTAGGACCGGATAGTGGCGGTATTCAACTGCTGAATATTGGAAATCTAGATAGTAGACATGCATCTGTGTTGCTCCCTCGTAATTAGTTCGGGCACGTGCACAGGGTCACACCACTGATTTCTGAACGTCTTCCGCATATTAAAGCTGCGTCATATGTTGTTCCGGTGCGCAGCCCTCCCTGTATCTGAAATTCACAACGTAGGTGTCTAGGAATTGCTTGAATTCCGAAACTGATTTTGCCTCGATACTATTCGTAGGCAAACTGTTCCAATATTTCACCACTCGGCGCTTTAAATATATACGGTGAGCTATCCGCTTTAGGTCCAATACCACTCTAGCTTGTAGCGGTGCTGGCGAGTGCTGCATGGTGCGCG